TGTAGAAAAATTCCCAACCAAACAAACAAAAGAATGACAAACAATCTCTACTCCCAAGGAATTCATAGTCTATCAAGGGAGGCAATATGTAGACATACATGTATATACAGAAAAAATGCAAAGTAAAAAAATTCTAGGTAGTTTGAAAAGGCAGGATATAAGCACTTCGAGTAGGAGCACTTTTTGGGGACTAGAATTGGGGACCACCACCAGCTTCTTTATGAGGTGGCCCTTTCATGTTGCCAGGCTAAGCGAATGGTAGGAATTTGGGTGGTTATAGGAAATGAGGGGAATATTTTTCTGTACAAGCTCAGCTTCCATTGGGGGAATAAGGACAAGAGAACTCTGCAGTCCTTCTCTCTTTACCTTCAGGAGGCCTTCAGGGAGCTATTTTGTGGGTAAAAAAAATGATAAGAAGAACATATAAAATGAATTACAAAAGGGTTAGCCATAGAAGTAGGGTAGTGGTGAGCAGTCGCAGTCCTCAAGGAACCCAAGAAAGCCTCTTGGCTCAAAAATGTCTTCTCTACAGATGCCTGAAATTCCACCATTAGTTATTTGTTCTTTAGGTTAAATACTGCCTTCTCTTTGCTTTGCTCATTTATTTTTTCTTCTATTTCAAAAAATTATTACTACAATTACTAGCATCTATACATAGTACTTTAAAGTTTATAAGGAACCTCACAAATATTATCTCATTTGATCTTCATAACAACCTTGGGAGGTAGATCCCCATTTCAGAGATAAGGAAGCTAAGGCAAACAGAGGTTAAGTGACTTGCCCAGGGCCACATAGCTAGTAAGTGTCTGAGGTTGCATTTGAACTCAGGTCTTCCTGACTCCAGATCCAGAGCTCTATCCACCATGCTACCTAGTCATCCATTGTAACAAAAAATTTAAAAAAAGGAAAAATGTTTCCCCAAACCAAAAAGCACATCTACTGAGTCTGATGATGTATATAGTACCCCACACCCATAGTAACCCAGAACTTCAAAGAAGGGATCACTCATGCACTTTTAAAATGCATTACCCCAAAAAGGGCTAGTCCTTTCTTTCTTTTTTTTAAATTTTTTTTTTTTTGTGAGGCAATTGGGGTTAAGTGACTTGCCCCAAGTCACATAAGTAGTAAAGGGCTAGCCCTTTCTTAACCTTACAATGTAGGCTTTTTTTTTAGTTGTTCATTGCCTATCCCAGAAAACACCTAGTTTGAGCATTAGATTTCTGGGTATTGAAAAGGGAGAATAGAGGGGCACATTTAGCACATTGGTACCAATCATGTGATATTATGTTTTACAGTTATCTTTTCTTGTGTCATATCTTCCTACTTGATGAAGCTCCTTGGGGTCAGGGGACATATCTAAAATTTGTTCCCCCCTCAGTGACTACCAGGAATGCTACGTACACAAGAAGTGCTTAATGTTTGTTGATGCAATGTGGGAGAACTGAAGCTCTGGGTTTACACAGACTGGATTCAGTCTTCATGGTTCTATCTTACAATTTTCTCTTTGGCTTATGCCCCACCCAGGGTTTCTCCTAGAGACACCCATGACAAAAGGTAAAGACCCTTTAATGCTCCTGCCAGCACTCAGGCTAAGGAAACATGGGCTGTAACATACACTTTATTTCATTTGACACACATACACAAATCCACAAAAAAACAAGAAACAAACCCGTACCACTTATACCCAAGCCTATAAATGGTCATGATAACTCTCCTGCCCTCTCAAGTAATTTCCACATTCCCCAAAGGGCTGTAGAGTCTTCTTGACTTGTCGTACTCTTCTGGGGTTGAGAACTCCCCTCCCAAAGGGAGTTTTGAGACCGTCCAACAAGCTTCCCCCTCTGATGAGCCTTACCTCTCCCAGGGACCTACACAGCCACTCCACCCTTTGCTTGAAGCTTCTCCACAAAAGGAAAGAATTTGGGGTCACTAGAGAGTTGAACTGCATAGTCTTCATAACTCACATTGAAGGAGAGGGCTGGGTTTGTTCTTTTACCTCATGGAGCTCTTCCTTAATGACTTGAGGCCTCAACTCCCACTCGCTGCAGGCATTCTGGTTGAAGAACTTCGTGGCATAAATGGTTCCCCAGAACGTATATTCTCCTGGCCTCTGGTTACCCACACTTTTCTCTGTGGGAATCAGTGTGTCTGTCGAGCTTCTCTCTTCCTTTTTGTTTCTTCCACTCCCTTATTATTAAACTTTAATTAATAAAAATCTATTTTCTCTTCCTCCCTCTTTCCCCTTCCCCACATTTGGAAAAAAAAAGCAAAGAAATGAAAACCCTTTGAACATATAAGCAAAATTAATTTCTTCATTGGTAGTGTCCAAAAATATAGGTCCTATTCTGTATCTTGGTTCTATCACTTCTCTGTCAGTACATTTCATCATTCCTTCTGGAATCTTGGTTGGTTATTGTGATGATCTGAGTTCTTTAGTCTCTCAGAATTGTTTGTCTTTACTTGTTGTTATTATATAAATTGTTCTCGGTTTTTCTCATTTTACCTGCATTAATTCATACAAATTTTCCCATATTTCTCTGAAAAAGCCTCATTCATCATTTCTTAAGATACAATAGTCTTCTATGACATTTATATACCGTGGTTTGTTCAACCATTCCAAAATACAGTTGATAGGCACCCCCAGAATTTTCAATTTTTTATAATCACTATGAATATTTTACATTCATGAATCCATTTCCTTTCCTTTCCTTTACTTTTTTTCTGCTCTTTGGGGCATACCTGCCACTCTTTCTTAGAGGTCAAGACTAGATGTATGAATAGACTGTGAATCAACTGATCACCCCCAATATGCTATTCATTAGTCAACTTAACATGTGGCACAAAGGAGTTTACCTTGTGATTGGAATTTCGTACTTTGTTAAGGAGAGGACATCAACTGTGAACAAAACCTTATCAATGGACACAAAAGGAAATTGAGGACAAGGGCTAGGTGGGTGCAGAACTTGGCCTGGCTGGATTTAAAATGTGCAGAAATAAGAACCTTTTTTGCTAATAAAAAAATGAGCTAGATAAGGTGTAGACCAGAGCATACAAACTAATCCCTAGTTTTCTCTATGTGACATTTTCTTACTCTCTAATATGCCTACCCCAGCTTTGATGGGGATCACCCCATAAAATTCCACTGCCACTAGAACCTCCCTTTGGATACCCAGATTCCTCCCTGCTCTCCAGCTCTAGGCAATGAACAAAAACAAAAATAAAAATAGCCCTGCCTTTCCTTAATCCCACTGAGACTTGGTAGAATTTAAAGAAAAACCACAAAACTTTACTAGGAAAAAATGCATCACAAACAAAAAGAAGGTACAAAGTTCTGCTGGTCAATTTACAAAGCCATCGGGAGCTGTTCTCTTTGATCCTCCTAGTCTGTTGGGCCACGTTCTTTGTGACACGTCCACTTCTTTCCTAGCACACCAGGACCTGCTAGACTTTGCTCATGCTGTGGTCTTTGTGGGCTACCTGGTTGCTCTTAAGGGTTTTTCCCATTTCCTCATCCATCAGGTCTTTTCTGTTGGTCACTTTTCAGCTCCCCTGTCATTTTGCCTCCTGGCTCCTTTGAGCACTTTCACCAGTAGGGAAAAGGCTTTTGACAAGAAGGACAGCACTCACAGCTGAAGTCTAGACTTACTGAGCATAGAACCCAGATTTAGAGCTGGTAGGGACTTCAGGCACTCTTTATGGGTGAGAAAGCTAATGGCTAGGGGAAGGTGGGGGGTAGGGGAGGGAGGTACCTAGGGTCACACAGGCAGAAGGTGACAGAGAGGGTTTGAATCAAGATTCTGACTCTAGCACGTGGGAGTGTTTTATTGTATCACTCTGCCTCTGATTTTTTGTGAAATCAAACAATTCTTTGTATTTGCAAATGGTGACTTTTCAGGTCTTGTATCTTCCTTTGTTGGTTTTACTTTTCCTTTTTAATGACTTAGTATCCTTTTAACCCTACTTTTTCTCCACTGTGTTAAAAGTGGAAGGTCTTTTATTTTTTGTCTGGGTCAGGAGAAATCAAGGGAATTAGAACAGGGGTGGGCCCAATAAAAGGATTTGTTCTGTAAAACTTGGACTCAGGCCAAAGGGCCACACTTGAGGACCTAGAGGGCCACATGTGGCCTGGAGGCTGAAGGTTCCCCACCCCTGTTCCTAGGGTATCCCTAATTCCCTTGACTTGTCCTGAAACCACAGGTTTCTCACTCTTACTCTAGAGTGTTTTTTTGGGGGGTGGTGAAGCAATTGGGGTTAAGTGACTTGTCCAGGGTCACACAGCTAGTAAGTGTCAAGTATCTGATCTGAGGTCAAATTTGAACTCAGGTCCTCCTGTATAGGCCGGTGCTATATTCAGTATGCCACCTAGCTGCCCCTAGAGTATGGAGTTTTGATTGTTTCTCTCTCTCTCTCTCTCTCTCTCTCTCTCTCTCTCTCTCTCTCTCTCTCATATCCCTTTGGAGAATAATGTTTGTTGTCTGCATTCATGATTGAAGGAAAATAAAGATGTAATTTTTCCATCCAAGTTCTTGGGTCACCTGAGATCTAGTCATGGTCCCAATGGGAGTCTGTGGGTCACAGGTTAAGTAGCTCTGCCCGAAAGGAAGGGATGGATGGCAGTTAAAACAGAGGGGCCACCACCTGAAGAATAAAGAAAAGGTTCTTAACTTGGGATGGGGTCTGTGAATAGATTCCAGGGGGTCTATGAATTTATTTTTAAAATATTTTGGTTTTATTTTAAAATATTTGGTTTAAACATAATGGTTTCCTTTGTAATCTTAAGTATTTTATTTTACTCATTATTCTGAGAAGGGGTCCATAGGCTTCACCAGACTACCAAAATGGTCTCTGCCACAAAAAAGGGTAAAGAACCTTTGGGTTCACTCTGAGGGTGATGGAAAGCATTCCTTTGCAGTGATGAAGATAAACTTCTCTTTCCCCATTTTACCAAGGCCCTGACTGGACAGCAGTGGCAGTGCCCTTCTTCCCATCTCTGTATACAGGCTTCCGAGAGAGTGCCTTTGCCTATGCCATCGCAGCAGCTGGTGTGGTCCATGCCGTGTCCAACGCCTGTGCCCTGGGGAAACTAAGGGCCTGCGGCTGTGATGAGGCTCGCCGGGGCGATGAGGAAGCCTTCAGGCAGAAGCTGCACCAGCTCCAGCTGGATGCTTTACAGAGGGGGAAGGGCATGAGCCACGGGGTCCCGGAGCATCCGGCCTTGCCCCCTGCTGCCCCTGGACTCCAGGATGCCTGGGAGTGGGGGGGCTGCAGCCCAGATGTCGGCTTTGGAGAGAGGTTCTCCAGGGACTTCTTGGACTCCAGGGAACCACACAGGGATATTCATGCCAGAATGCGGCTCCATAATAACCGTGTTGGGAGGCAGGTGAGAGGCCCAACTCCAAAATCCTGGAGTTCATCCTCCTAGCTAACTTACTGCTGATCCTTGGAACCTTATCTCAACTCCTCCAGATCTACTATACTTTTAGGCTCCAGGACACAAGAACTATTCTGGTCCCATTAGCTCTACGTTTCTTCCTCCATTCCTCTTCTCTTCCTGCTATTCCCTTCTTCTCTGTTACCCTCCATCCCCTACCTTGGCAAACACTTGGCAACACTGGCCTGGAAGTCAGAAGATTTGGTTTCTATCCCTTCCTTGTCCATGTGTGATATTGGCCAAATCAATGTGTCTTTCTACCATTTTCTTGTTTGTAAAATGAAGGGCTTGGATTAAACTATCTCTGAGGTCTCCCCTGCCCCCAACACACACAATATGGTTTTTACTCAATTTTCCTTTTAAGGAGATTAGGTCCCTACCACCCTGGAGCAGGTTTAGTGAATTCCCACAATGCCAGTTCAGTAGGCAGAGTTACTGAGGTCATAAAGTGCTTTTGGGATCATGGGATTCAGATTGCCTAGTTAGTACAAACTCCCTCATTTTATAGAGTCCTAGAGAAGTGAAATAAAGCACCCGTGTCCCAAAGGGTAGAGGTGGGATCCAAACCCAGGTCTTTGTCCTGCTGGACTCTACCCTGGTCCAATGCCTGCAGTGTTGTGCTTAGTTCTGGTTATCACACATATCAAGACAGTCTTTGACATGTGTCCCTCTGACTGAATCCAAACTTCACAGAACAAATCGCCTTAATGAAAAGATTTGTTCTGTAAAACTTGGACTCGGTCAAAGAACCACACCTGAGGACCTAGAGGGCCACATGTGGCCTCGAGGCCACAGGTTCCCCACCCATGGCTAAAGTATGTTCAGAAGAGGGAAAACAGGATGATGAAGGACCTAGAGATCTTGCCATGTAAATCTCTGTTTAATGAACTGGGAATAATTATCCTGGAAAGAGAAGGCTTGGGAGGAGGTTGTGATATCTGGCTGTAAGTACCCCAAGGGTTTATAACATGGCACCTGGATTAGACTTGTTTTGCTTAGCCCCAAAGTGCAAACAGAATTAGGAGCAACCGGGAGACGTGACAACGAGACAAATTCAGACCTGATGTCAGGGAAAAAAACTTCCTAACAATTGGAACTATTGCAGAATGGAGTGTGGGATACCTCAGGAAGGAGTGGGGTACCCTTCCCTGGCAAAAGTTGGGTGACCATAGGTTTGGTACGTAGGCCTTTCTTGTTCAGGTATAGATTGGATGAGATGGTCTCAGGGGTCCCTAAAGACTCAGAGACTTTCTGTCTTTAGTTCCAAAGCCAGCTTACTTTTCAATATGTGCCATTGCATTAGTTCATCCTCTTCTCCTCAAGGTACAAGGTATACTGCAGGCCACCAGGTATCACTGGCTTTTGGGGAAGTCCAAATTCATTTTCCAATCTAGTCTCTCCTCCTCCCCATCTCCTTTTTTATCCCCTCCTTCTCACCATTGTGGTGACCCCTGACCCTTCCATTTCCCTAATTTCCTCTTATCTGGCCCTCTTTACTCGTCCTGTTGAATGTCACCTCCATTCCCTTCCTGTCACTGGGAGGCTAAAGAGTGTCCTCTTCTCCTTTCCACACACTGAGAGAATTAAGCTGAGGCACAGTGGGAAGGAGGGGGTGCACCCAAAGCTTCAAATTCCTCCCAGCCCTACTCCACCCAGGCAGATCTTCTCCCTAGCTTTAACACCTTTGCCCTCCCATCCCCCAAACCGATGGCTTCAACTTCTTGTTAAACTGGTTAATTAATGGCTGCTGCTGGTGGGAAGCAGTTTTGGAATTGCTGGACTTGGGAGGCATCAAAGCTGGTTCTAACGTGGCCTCAAAACAGAGAACTGCTGGGCATGGCCCAGCCCTAGAACTCCAATGCTGTCTGCTTCAGCTACAGATACTTCCAAGAGGGCCTCTAGGGTTGAGAGCTCCTACCCCAGGGGATCTCAGGTTCACCTTGGATATGGGAAAGGTTTAGAGCCCAGACATGGGGGTTGGACTTTATCATGCCATGGGTCACGGCTATTCTGATCTGGAATAGTACTCTGAAGAGAGATGGAAAGAATGTTGTGATTCCATTAAGTGGTCTAAGATGCGAGGCTGACTGCAGGGTTCTCTGGGAGGCTAATCGAATTTAGAAGTAGGAGGGACCTCAGGGACCGTTTTATCTAAAACCTTCATCTTACAAATGAAGAAACACTCTGAGATGTTAAACGAGTGACTCAGAATTTCACAGGTAGTAAGTAGCAGAGCTGGGAATCAAGCTCAAATGCTCCAATTCCAGGGCTGGTGGTCTTTTCTGTTATATTATATTGCCAGTTTTGTTCTTTCAGATTCAGTTGGAGTTGAGACAAATCAGTGCCCTCACTTACGACCTCACTTCTCCTTCCATTCTGGAATGAATTGAGGGGTGGACTAGCAGCTAGGCTAAATTTCGTTTAGGTTTAAATTTAGGTTTAAATTTGTTTCTCTGCCTTGTCCTTAGCTTTTGAGTCTGAGGAAGTGTTTTTTTTTTTTTCTCTCTGATGGTGCTTCACTCAAACTTCACCTTACAGAGGGGGAAACTGAGACTGAAAGTATGGCAGGTGCGATTGGAGTTTTAGTGGAGTCAAAGTTGCCTGACCATTCTAAGGGGAGGAAATATCTTCCACACCTACCCATGGTATCCCCAAAAATGGACTTTAAGGCCTCAAGGAAGGAATGGGACTTTCTGTGTCTCACCACAGCCTTCATTCACATCCTGGAGCTAGGCCAGGCCATCAGATCTACCAGCTGGGACATGGTGGGGCCCACACCCCCAGCCCCTCCAGCTCCTGCCCCCCACCTAGGGAAGGAAGGCTTGGGGATTTCCCTGGGGATTGGGTATCCCCCCTCAGGAAGTAAGAGCAAGCTGAAGTGTGGGGGAGAGACCCCCCTAGCCCCAACGGTCCCTTGCAGCTGCTGTGGAGGGGGGAGCAGTGGTAGGAAGGGGAGGAGAGCAGGGGCTCCTCATACCTTTAGAGATGCTGGGGGACTGGAGGGGCAGGAAGCCGGGGATTCCCGTGGGGTCTGGTCTTGTGGGAACAGAATTAGGGATCAGCAGAATATAGAACTAGAGGGTTTGAAAAAGGCAGGATATGTGTGCGTATAGTGAAGAGAAGAGGGCCTGAAGCAGGAACCTGAGTCCCATGGTGGGGAGGACCTCCCTCTTCTGTTTCTGATGATTTGGGAGACATCAAAGCTCGTCCCTGTATGGGTGTTGACCCAGAGAGTGCCTAGGCATGGCCAGCCCTGGGAGCCCATGTTGCTATACCGATTTCAGACCACTTGAAGAGGACCTCTTGTAGTCGGGGCTGGGGTAGTGAGCAGAGCTGGATCAGGCTGATGCAAAAGAGTAGGGCTGCTTGCTTAAGGGGGCTGTTGGGAGGCAGAGGGGTGTCTGGCACCCACTTCACACATGCCTGCCTCCTTGTCTTCCTCCCCTAGGCAGTCATGGAGAATATGCGCCGGAAGTGTAAATGCCACGGCACATCGGGCAGCTGTCAGCTGAAGACCTGCTGGCAGGTGACCCCCGAGTTCCGGGCGGTGGGCTCCCTCCTCCGAGCCCGCTTTCAGCGCGCCACACTGATCCGGCCCCACAACCGCAATGGTGGCCAACTGGAATTTGGCGCGGCTGGGGGCCCCCTCCCCTCCCCGGGCTCGCCCCCAGCTCGCCGGCGAGCCAGTCCCGCAGACCTGGTCTACTTCGAAAAGTCCCCGGATTTCTGTGAGCGGGAGCCCCGGCTGGACTCGGCGGGCACAGCCGGGAGGCTATGTAACAAGAGCAGCGCGGGGCCGGACAGCTGCGGAAGCCTCTGCTGCGGGAGAGGGCACAACATCCTGCGGCAGACGCGCAGTGAGCGGTGCCACTGTCGCTTCCACTGGTGCTGCTTTGTCGTCTGCGAAGAGTGCCGCATCACCGAGTGGGTCAGCGTCTGCAAGTGACCTCCACGCGCCGTGTCTCCGAGGGTATCCGACAGACCTGGAGGTGTGATGGAAAGTTCTGGGGCCCTCCGCAATCCTCCGTGCAGCCTTGGCAACGTCACTTACTTTCTCTGGGCTTCAGTGTCCTCGTCTGTAGAATGCAGAGGCTGGGCTACACCACCTCTGAGGTGTCTTCCAGCCTATGCTTTTTTGGACTCCTCTTTGCAGGCAGCCCAGCTGTTTCCCACACCCCCACCTTGTCACTTAGGAATCTCGGGACTGAACTCTCACCTTCTGCCAATCCCATTCCTTCTTCCTAAACAGCCCCGATGATAAAGGGCTCCGAAAGGGGAGTAATGGGGTGTGCTGAAATATGGGGAGGTGCAGAAATCACTCAGTTCTTCCTACTCTTTCCCTCAAAAATGTCGTCCCCAGAAAACACTGATTCTGTTGGGTGGAATTAAGAGGTTTATTAAAGAGACATAGAGACAATTGGGCAATACAGATTCTATAAAGGGATCAGGTACTGCATTCCTTGCCTTCTCTCCCTTCTTTTGGCATTTGTTATCTTTAGGGTTCCAGCCTGGGAACCTGGATACTTGGGTTCATACACCAGCCCCAGGAACTCTGCCCCAGGCCTCAGTTTCCTTCTCTATACCCCCAAGGCAGAAGTTAGTGGGGAGGGGGAGTACCCAATAACCTAACAGAGCAGGCAGGAGGCACCCATTTGAGGAATGGCCCCATGAAGGCGGGTCGTTGGTAATCCCTGGGCACGGCTTGGCATAGCCAAGCCCAGAGCCCCAGGGAGCAGGTGGGGCCAAGAGGTGGGGCCAGGGGGAGGGCTAGGGAGACTCACTGTCTGGAATGTTACTGTCTAGAATCTCCACTCCCAGGACTAGAGCTGGGTATGGTAGAGGTTGGAGAGCTAGGGAGGAGATTGAAGTGCTTAGGGAAGGTCCCCCATTCCCTATTATGTTTCTCCTATTCCCCCCCCCCCCGCCCCGGCCAGGTCTCTCAGCTAGCTCATCCCAATACTTCCCTTTCCACCCCCTTGTACACATGTATTTGTATATGTATGTTTGAGTATGTATATGTTTGTACACATTCATTCACTGTATATGCCCAGACAATTGAGCAGAAACCTTTCTCCTCCTCCCTAACTCCCTCCTCCATTACTTTCTCCCAGTCTTAAAGGGAACTAGGTGAAGATATGGGGTCCCAGTACTAAACCCAACACCTGAACAAGATAGAAAAAAAAATGAGGAAGAAAGCCTCAACTGAAGGAAGCTAGAATCCAGGAGTCTTACCAACTCCACTTTAAATTCCCTGTTATCCACAGCTGTAGCCCTATTGCCATCTTCATTTTACCCTAAAAAGGTGTTCTCCCCACCCCCAAGATCTCGGACTAAAGGTTGGGTCCTCTAGACCCATCTCCAAAGGCTAGTCTCCTATCCAAATGGGGTGATCCATGTCCCCACCATCGACCTAGGCCAACTTCTTTGGGTGAAAGTGAAAGCAGAGGTTTGGATGACTGTGGTTCATGTCTTGGCTATGCCCACATTCTGCTAACCCTTTCAAGCCCAACCATGCCAAGCCAGCTAAGAGAGGAGCCCTCATTAGACTGCTCTCAGGTTCACACCTTCCCCATTCCTGCAGTTCTGCAGCTTTTGAGTGGATTCACTTGGCTTGTTTAGGCTTCAGTAATGCTTTAACATCCCAGGCCTGACTGGATAAGGCTTGACAAAGACAAATTTCCAAAATTTCATCTTCCAGGAGAAAGCCCAGGAAGACAGAAAGCTGTGGGGCCCCTGGGAGGAGAGGTGGAAAGGGGGAGGTGGGTGGGGAGGGGGGACAGGAGCAGTCAGACACACCTGGTTCATTCCATTCCTCTTGCTCATCTAGAAGGAAGCTAGGGGGCTGGGCCCCCCCCCCCCCACTCCCAATCCCTCCTCTGCCATCATTGGTTTAGGGGGAGGGGGAATAGAAGATAGGGGAAGGATAGAGTGAGGATTAGGTAGGCCATTGCCATTCTCAACAGGATTTTACACCATTATACCCCAGAGCCATCCATTACCTCTGTGCCTCACTCCACCTCCTGGATGAACCAAGCCCTGACCCCAGACCCAAAAAGGATATTGCACTAGTACAGGGAAGCTGGAATAAGGAAAAGTCTAGGTGGAGATTCAAGGGAGAGTGGAAATGGATATAGTTAGAGGTACAAGATGGAGAAGCACCAATATTATGCTGAGCATGGCACAAAAAGAGCTAAAGGGTCATAGTGGGCTACAAAGTTATTGGTTCATCTGTCTTGAAGTAAATTAGGAATCCTTACTTGAAGAAATGAGGTGGGTGGACAGGGAGTTTTCCAGTAATGGGGTTAGGGAAGTAGATGATAAAGTGTCCCACTCATCCTCAATCTGGGTTCAGGTACTGGCCAGGGTCCTGAGGCCAGGGCTAAATTCCACAACTGAAAAAGTGATATGGGGAAGGTGGAAAGGAACTAGAAGGGAGTCATGGTGATGATGAGGGGCAAGAAAATGAGTTCTAGGAGGAATTGGGCTTATGCAGTCCAGAGAAGGCTAAAGAGAGACTGATTGAATGGGCCCTAAAGGTTATTAGAAAAGTCATCTAGGAGTAAGAGAAGATGTAAAGTCTAGATGCCAGTATGAACTTACGAATTAAGTGGTGAGGGTGGGGGGGAATAAAAGGAAATGAAGCTGGTGAAGTGGTAGCATCTTTGCTGCTCAGCATCTGTCAGTGAAGGGAAAAGTTTCCTATGTCTCCATACCTCTCATTTGACTAAGAAGCCCTGCTCACCCTCTCAGGAAGCAAGGAATGAATGGGATGACCTTGGGAACCCCAGTCAGACCATGGAGTGAACTGGAGAACAGAAGACAATGAGAAGGCACATCAAGAAGTGTCAAGTGAGGCACTGTGCATAGTGGGAGAATCTTGGATTGAGAAAAGATCTCTATTACCTTAGGAAAAACATTTAACCTTGCTGACCCTCAGTTTCCTCAACTGTAAAATGAGAAGGTTGGATTAGATGATCTCTAAGATCATTTAACTCTAAACCCAGTGAGATATACACCAAACTGAAACTAAAGTGGAGACATGGAATTAGAATGGAAAATAGAGGCTGTCTCTGGGACAGAGAGCCTGGAGTGGAATTGAGAAGTGGAACCTAGGCATCCCGCTTCCCAGACCACTCTTAGGCCTGGGGAGGAGAAGATGAAGTAGAGCCAGGAGCAGAGGGGCAGAGGTCAGAGAAATATCTTGAATGTAGCTGAGGGAAGAAGTTAGTAGAAGAGAGAGTCAGGAAGATGCCAGGGCTGGAGCAGGGAGGCAACTGCCATCAAGGAGAAGGAGGAGTCACCACCCCCTTCTCCCCCCCCCCACCTAATCACCCCACAGCCGCCCCCCCAAGGGGGGCTAGAGCCTTTCATGTCTGGAGCTGGTCCAGGGTACCCCCTCCCCCGCCCCCAGCCTCCCCAGTTCTGTCCCCCCTCACCCCCTTTCTCATGTGGTTGCCGGCAGCTGCCTGTGGTCGCCCCAGCCCCTGAGCTCTGGGCACAGGGATTTTCCAACAGGGGAAAAAATGACTTAATGAGAGTGGGAGCTGGGGGCGGGAGGGACAGGTCCCTGTAATCACAGCCTCGCTTCAGGGCTTGCAACACCCCCTCCCCCACATACACACCTCCCGGGGCCCCTCCCTGGGCACCCCCTAGTTCTCTCGAGGCAGGGAAAGGGGAGGGGGCTGATTTATGACTGTGACTCTTCCTCTTCTCCAGGTGGGGAACAAGGGGGTCCTTCCCTCTCCATCACGAGCAATGAAGTCCTATGAAAGGACATGACTCTTGAATTTAACTCTTGATGCCATTTCAGTCCCTGATCCAGAGTGACCTAGAAATCTTCTGGCCACCCCCCACCCACCCCCACCCCCACCCCACTGGACTTGGAGGGAGGAGGCTCTCCTCCGGATGCTTGGGTGCTCGGGTCAGGAAGTGGAGAAAGAGCCATCCTGGAACCTGGGGATCTTCTCCCAGGCGGTTGCGCACATCAGCGGCACCCCAGTTGCTGTGGCAACAAGGGCAGCCGACAAGCTTCCCCGGGGCAGGGAGGCTCCTGTCACCCCCCCATCTTCCCCTCCCACCCCAGCCTCCGCTGCGGTGAGCGGGGGTGGGGGTGTGCCGTTGCCATGGCAAGGGCTGCGCCAGGAGGGTACATTCTTCCCCAGGGTGGGGGCGGCCCCGGGGACACTGGGGGAGGGGGGCGAGGCAGGGGAGAGGGACCAAGGGCGGAGTCCAGAACACAAATCCAGAAGAGAGGTGCCCCCAGGATAGTCTCCTCCCTTCCCCCAACTATCCAGCTGTTTCGGGGATCCTGCCTGAAAAAAATGTCCCACCAATCCCCCAAGAGTCGGAGACTGTCTCATAGCTCCAGAGTAAAGGATTCTCTCCCTCCCTCGGTCCCCACCCCCAACCTCTCAGACTCTGCTATCCCTCGCCACCTCCTCCCCCTCCTTCCGGTTCTGCCTATATGCTTCATTCTGTGTCCCTCATTCTGTCCCAGTCTCCCCTGGGGAGGTGACCTCCTGACCACCGCACGCGACGGGTCAGGCCGCTCCAGCCACGGCCTGCGAAGAGGCAAACGCACCCACCTCTGGCCTCCCCCCTCGCCACTTCGAACTCCTCCCCCATCCCCACCCCAGCCAAGCAGAGCCACAGCCACAGCTGAGACTGCGGCCCTGCAGCCCTGCAATTAACCTCCCACTATTCTACACCCCCTTCTCTCCCCCCCGCCCCCCCCATCCTCCCTTTCAGTCGCCCTCCGCAGGGCCGGTAGGCACCGCCAATTACAGCCACGCAGCAGCTGATTACCCGGGGAGCTGGGGGCAAGGGCGGGGCCAAGGGATGGGAGGGGCCCGGGAGACTAGGGAGGAGGGGAGAAGTAGGTGGGAGGGGGCAAATCATAGGGAGGGGGTCTCCTAGGGTCACTCTGTTTCCTGGTAGCTCCCCACTGCCCTCCGCCGCTGCCCCGCCCTTGTCATTGTCCCTAGTGTCCTTAATTTGAGTTTCAGCTTTGACATCACCCTCTTCCCCAGCCCCAGTAAAGCTTTGCTCTGACTCCAGCCTGTCCAGAGGCTCCCTTACCTATCTCATGGTTCAAGGTGACAATTCTGAGGCACACATTCCTTCTTGTGGTTCCTCAATGTCCCTCCTACCTTCGATGTCGGTGGGGGACGGGGAAGAAGGGGGTTAGCTTATGACAATGGGAGGGGTAGCAGAGGAAAGAGGAGAACCTTTATTACTGAGCTAGGGGACAAACAGTCCCCTTTTAGGTCGGTCCACAGAAGGTCACTTCTGTCCCCACTCGCCTCTTCTACAGAATAGGGACCTCATTCCGTACCCACCTCCACTCACGCGGTTCCCCTTCCTCCCTCAGCCCAGCCTAGATTGTTAAAAACTCAGGAGCTAGTTTGGGGTTCCCTG